CTTTTTTTTTTTTAAATTATTTAAGAAACTGCTTTTTACAATATATATATTTAAAATTAACATTTATTTATTTATTTTGTTAATCCTCACCCGAGGGTATTTTTTCCATTGATTTTTAGAGAGAGTGGAAGGGAGGGATTGAGACACACAGAGAGAAACATCACTGTGAGAGAGACACATCCATTGGTTGCCTCCCGCATAGGCCCTGACTAAGGCTGAAATCGAGCTTGCAACCAAGATACATGCCCTTGACTGGAATCGAACCTGGGACCCTTCAGTCCGAAGGCTGATGCTCTATCCACTGAGCAAAACCAGCTAGGGCAATTTCTGGGCCTCTCAAAAGCAACAGCCCTTTCCTACAGGCATCTGTACCCTTCCATCTATTGACAGATAAGTGATAGTCACTGGGTGGGCCAACTGTGGTGGAGAGGACATTCATTGATATTACTTACAACTGATCCATTCACTAAGAATCAGGGCGAAAAGGGACCTTTTGGGGTGAAAAGGTACCGCGTCAGTAACAGATGTGGAAGAGGATGTGTATGGGCGATGGGGCTATCAGGCCCCTCTGAGTCACCTGTAATTCATTTAAGACTGTGCATCAATAACCTCACTAACCATGGCAGTGGAAAGAAACATGGAAGAATGAACGATGCCATAGAAAGAAGGAGCTAGGCAAATTCCCTTGATACCCATGAAGTTCCAGAGGTAGACCACTCCAAGGCTGTGCTATGCAAGGAACCAGCACTTCAGAGGAGGCCTCTGAGATATGCGAATTAATTTAAGGAGCCCCCTAAGCACATACAGCCAGCACAGCATTCCACCCCGACTTTCTCAGGTGCCTCAATGAGTGAGCAGCACAACACAAAGTGATCCTAGCTGTGCTCTAGTCCAGCCGTCACCAACTGGTGGTCCGCGGACCACTGGTGGTCCATGAGGTCCAAAAGGTTGGTGACCGCTGCGTCTAGTCCAAATGTGGCTCTAAGGGCCTAAATCACCCATCAGCTGGAAGATGGAGAAGTGGGAGCCAAAGTGACCCATCAGGCATCCTTCCAGGACCTGAAGGAAAGGGAACATGTATGTGTTCACCCTTTATATAGATCAGCGATGGCAAACCTATGACACACGTGTCAGAGGTGACACACGAACTCATTTTTTTGGTTGATTTTTCTTTGTTAAATGGCATTTAAATATATAAAATCAATATAAAAAAATATAAGTCTTTGTTTTACTATGGTTGCAAAGATCAAAAAATTTCTATATGTGACACGGCACCAGAGTTAAGTTAGGGTTTTTCAAAATGCTGACATGCCGAGCTCAAAAGGTTTGCCATCACTGCCCTAAGTTATCCCCAATTATCCTGATTGCACAGAGGAGAAAACTGAAGTGAGGCTCGTGAAGTAATTTACAAAAAGGTCGTACAATTAGATGCAAGTGGGGCTGAAGCTAAATTAAGGTCTGTCTGACTTGTCAAAGAAGTTGATACTGGGGCAAGGAGACAGCAAGAACAGAACATGAGTCCGGAGAATCTGAAGGTATTTCTGCATAAATCCCAGTTTTTATAGCTCTCACCCTGGAACGTTCCCTTCCCCACTGTCCAGTTGACAGGTGATTCAGTCAGTGACAGAAGTGGAAGAGAATGCGGAGGGCGATGGGGCTATCGCAGAGTCAAGCATGGACTAGCCCACTGACTCACTAGCTAAGCCACATTTTGGTCAGTCCACAACAGGGCTGGATCCTCCCCTGCTTCCTGAATCTACTCTGCAGGGCAGCTTTGGAGCAAGCGCTTTTCTTGTCTGTGAGCTCACCCTGAGGTCTGCCAGTAAGCCCAGGGGGCAGAGAAAGTGAGAAAGCAATATCCCCATCCCTGCACCAGGAAAAGAAGAGTGCATCTCTGCTAACAGATACCACCTGCCACTGGAGTTGATCTGTGATTTGACACCACTGAGCACCTCCCCGCCCCCACAACCTGCCTAGAAAGAGAGGCCTCCCTGGCTTCCATTCTCAGAGCATCCATCCAGACATTTAAGGGAGACTGCAACCACCCCCATCTCCAGGCTGCAGCCCCGAGACAGAATAGCTGCTCTGTCCAAGGTAAAATGTGCTGCTTCAGGTTTTTGCTGCCGCTGCGAAGACAAACAATGGTACCTAGGAAGGCAGCTGTGCCAGCCCCAGTCATCTGTCCATGCACATAGGGGCAGGAAACAATGGGCCACTAAACGCCAGCACGCCTGGGCCATGTGCCCAGACTGGAGGCCCCTCTGCACCCTGACCTACCCACAGACTATAAGGGCAGAAAGAAGAAAGGGGCAATTTATAAAAACACGAAGGAATTCCTCACAGTTCCATCGTGTGCTCAGGCAAGTATGCACATACACACGTGTGCACAAAGACACGCACACTCACACCACCCACACTGTGTTTCACCACAACAACTCAAGAAGGCTTTACAAATCCAGTTATAGCTGGATGAGAGTTCCTGGGAGGGGTGATGGGGTCCTTGCCAGTTCTTTCCTGGAGCTACACAGGAAGAAGTCAAGCTCTCGGTTTCCAGAAGCAGCTGTATCTCAGGGCATGAATGAAGCCAAAGTGCAAAGGTCACCATGAACTACCTGGAGTGATCAGGGACCTGCCACACCAACAATCATGTAGACACTTAAATTATAAAACATGACCTCCCCTGGGCACCTAACACAGCCCATTTATTCAGCAACCCTTTGCTGAGCCCCTACCGTATAGCAATCCCTGTGCTAGATGATGGTGATGGAGAAAACAGGCCCAAGCCCTTCCCTAAATGAAGCATGGCTTGACAAAGAAAAAGAAAAGAAAGCAAAGACGGTCTTATTGCTTCTGTTCTGGATATTCTTTATTATAACACAGCCATGGTAATAAGTTCCAACCTGAAGACCAAAGATTTATAAATCATCAATAGCGGACAAAAGAAATCAAGCAACAACCCTAATAAAAATTCAATGTCCTGACTTTTTTTCCATCGCATTTTTAAAAAAATGACCCTTGAATAAAAACTGCAGCTTCCCTTGCAAACAACTTTTCTGAGTTTCAGAGCTGACCTTTGGTTGATATTTCATCCAAGATTGAAGTCAAAATTTCACTGCACTGTTCTGGAATTAGACAGTGGTGATAGTTACACAACCTTCTGAATATACTAAAAAACAAAAGCCCACTGAATTGTACAATTTAAAAGGGTGAATTTTATGCTATGTGAATTATATCTCATTAAAAATTGTCAACCTAACCAAATAGGATGTCCTGTTGAGCACCATACTTCCAGCTAACAGGCACCAAAAGGAGGGAGGAATTCTT